CCGCCGCATGCGGCCAAAGGGACAGGCCACGGGCATTGACGGATGGCCAGGGGTGCTCATGCGATGGGCCCCGATGACGGTGCAGCGCCAGTACCTGGCGCAGCTCAGAAGGGCGGCAGCGGCTGACAGCTACCCGAAACAGTGGCCCGTCAGCCTCGTCACCCACATCCCAAAGCCCGGCAAGAGCACCTCCCGGCTTGACAAGATGCGCGACTTGTGGAACTGCCCGCACGGGTGGAAGATCAACACCCACATCCTACGGCCGGAATACGAGCGGGTGCGCAGGTCGGTTGTGCCGGGCTGCAACAGAGGATTCGGCGCCTATATGGACGCGGGAGAGGCGACGAGCGTGGCGGTCTACCAGACGGAGGAGGTGAGCACACTGTGCACGACGCTCAGCCGAGTCTACGTCGACCTAAAGGGCTTCTTCATGGGCGTCGTCCGCAGCCTCCTCTACAAAATCGAAGGGGACCTCGGCGTCGCCCCAGGGGTGACCGGCTGCATGAAGGCGGTACAGGACGTCATGCAAGGCAAGGCAGACAGGGGAGGGGGCGAGCAGGCAACAGGAAGAGGATGGAGAGCCGCTGACGAAAGCCCAGAGACAGCGCCAGCGCAACCGAGTGCGGGGATCACCCCGAAAGCCAACCAACAAATTCTCTGGCCTCAGCTGAGAAGGATAGGGTCGACGGGTGATGGGAGCGAGACCGAACGGCCGGGCATGCTCCTGCACGCCCGGGCAACTAGGTCATGGACCTCCCCCCTCCCCGAGTGTGTCGTGGAGATGGTAACTTGTTCATAATGCTGCTTGTACAACCACGACCGACGCGAGGACGCAAGTCCACCAACCTCGGCCATTCCAACGGCCAGACCGCTCGCTTAAGGCTGATTGGCTAGACGAGCGGTCTCCCTCCATGGGGCTGTTGGCGCAGGGGGAGGTGTCAATCACGCTCCCGGGACGCCGGAGAGATCGGGTTGGTCTCCCCCGCCTTCAGCCCTGACCCGACGGGGACGCCACCACCCTCGCCCAGGGATCTACAATGCTGTCTTAAGGTCCGACAGGTTCGGCACCGGGCACCGCCTCGGTATACAAAATGCGCCTGCGGGCGGACCCTTACAGATCACAGATCACAGCGGCAAACACCAGCGCGCGGCCTGCAGGAAAGGTGCCACCCCCCCGACCGCGCGCCGCACGCGGATTGCAGCCAGCCGCGAGTCCGTACCCGGCGCAGGGTCGTCCTCTCGGCCCGCCCAATAGCCGACGCCATAGTCAAAGCTCAGCTCGGTGCCTGCTCCAGACGCGCCAACGCTGAGTACGGCCCCAACCCCACCCTGCTTATCTTCTCTCCTGCTCTCTCCTGCTCTCTCGTCTCCTCCTAGCCCGGCGCCCTCTGCGAGGTCCCGCGCAGCAAAGAAATCGACTCCCCGCCCGCCCACGGCCGGCGCGGCGACGAGGCTGCCCGATTCCGCGTGGTTGAGGAAGCGAGAGGCCTATCCGAAGTTCCGCAACAGTTTCCGCGAAGGCTCCTCCGAGAGAAGGCACCTCGGCCGGGCGGTGGTGGCGCGCATGGCAGCTCTCCGTCGCGTCCAGGTACACGTCGCCCAGAGCAAAGAGGTACGAGCTGCCGTGGCGGCGGGAGGCCTCCGCCGCCTGGTCGCGGGTGAGCAGCGCGCCGCGGTAGCTGGTCACGTACTCTCCTGCGGCGGCGGGCCGTGTCGCAAAGGCGCCGAGCCCCCGGCCATCGGTCGTCGGCCTTACCTACTCGACACGTCTTGGACGTGTCATGACGTGTTGCGGACTCGTCGTAGAAACCCGGGAGGTGGAGCGGCTTCACCTCGAGAGCCATCTCGTGCCTGGGCGGTCGCCCGGCGGCGGTGGAGTAGCACGCGTCCATGGTCGGGGGCCGAGACTGCCTGCTGAGTGGTGAAGACGGCGGCGAAGGCGGCGGCGGCGGCGGCGACAACAGCAGATGCTGCAAGCTTCCAGGCATTGGGCAGCGAAGCGTGGCTGTGCCCGCGTCGGCGCTCCACTCTGCTGGCAGGCGTGCGAGCAACTGCTCCGGCCCAAAGGACACCTCTTTCGACTCGTCCAGTGCCATCACGCACGACGGGTCCCCGCCGC